GGTCAAAGTGTTAAACTTCCTCTTCTTGTGGTTGAAGGAAATGGACCACCATTACTAGGTAGGAACTGGTTAGTTGATCTTAAGTTAAATTGGGAGAGTATATTTTCAGTGATCAAAGCAAGAGAATCTAGTTTTACTTCAATAGATAAAGTTATATCTGAAAATGAAAGTGTTTTTGGTAATTCAGGATTACTAAATGATAGAACAGTGAAGATAAGCATTAAAGACACAAATCCAAGATACTGCAAAGCTAGAGTTCCGCCTTATGCAATGAGGGATAAAATTGAAAATGAGCTAAGTAGATTGGAATCTAATGGCATCATAAAGAAGGTAGACTATTCCGATTGGGCAACGCCCATTGTGCCAGTGTTAAAGAAGGATGGTTCTGTAAGAATTTGTGGAGACTATAAAGCTACACTGAATAAGCAAATAGAGCTAAATAGGTACCCTATTCCTAACATTGAGGAAATTTCTTTGAATTTGGCAGGAGGAGACAAATTCACTGAATTAGACTTTAGTCATGCTTACACTCAACTAGAACTGCATCCAGATTCAAAAGTCTATACGACAATAAACACACATAAAGGACTCTACCAATATGAAAGACTATGTTTTGGCATATCATCTAGTCCTGGAATTTTCCAAGCTGTCATGGACAGTATTTTTAAGGACATTCCAAATGTTTGTGTTTACTTTGACAATCTGTACATAACTGGTAAGAATGACACTGAACATCTTAAAACACTAGATAAAGTCTTGAAAATAGTTGGTGAAAAAGGTTTAAAGATAAACAAAGATAAATGTCAATTCATGCTGACAGAAATTAGTTTTCTTGGTTATATATTAAGCAAGCAAGGTCTCAGACCTCAACCTGAGAAAACAAAAGCCATTAAAGAAGCACCCAAACCTGAAAATACCCAACAACTAAGAGCTTTTTTGGGCTTGATAAATTACTATGCAAAGTTCATAGGGAATCTGTCTGGTAGATTATCACCACTGTACAAGCTGCTGCAGAAAAATGCAACTTGGCACTGGGGTAAACAACAAGATGCTGCTTTTAATACAGCAAAAGAAGCTTTGTCTTCTGACACCTTACTAACTCACTATGACCCAGGGAAAAGACTTGTCTTGACATGTGATGCTTCACCAGATGGTGTAGGAGCAGTCTTGTCCCACATGGATGAAAAGGGTGACAGACCCATTGCTTTTGCCAGTAGATCTTTGAACCAGGCTGAGAAAAATTATTCTCAGTTAGATAGGGAAGGCTTAAGCATCATTTTTGGTGTTAAGAAATTTCATAAGTTTCTGTTTGGTAGGAAGTTCACCATCTTTACAGATCATAAGCCATTGCTAGGTTTATTTGGGGAAAACAAACCCCTGCCTGAGCATGCCTCACCAAGAATTCAAAGATGGGCTATCACACTAACTGCATACAATTATGAATTGAAATACAAACCTGGATCTGAGAATAGTGCAGATAGTCTTAGTAGATTACCTTTAAAAAACCAAAGCCTTAGTTATGTACCAGAAGATGTATTTGTTCTCTTCACTATCATGGATAACTCCAATATAGATGTGAATGATATTAAAAGAGAAACACAAAAAGATGAGTGCTTAATAAAAGTATATGAGTACTGTAAAAATGGTTGGCCTGAAGAGTCAGTGAATGATGACTTAAAGCCATATACAATAAGAAAAACAGAGTTAAGTCTAGAAGATGGATGTATACTATGGGGGTCAAGAGTTATTATCCCCAAAATGTTACAAAAAGAAGTTTTAAGAACTTTACATGATACTCATCTTGGTTCTTCCAAAATGAAGAGTCTTGCACGCTCGTGGTTCTGGTGGCCACATATGGATGCTGATATTGAAAAATATGTAAAGCTTTGTTCAAGCTGTGCACAACATGCAAATCAACCAGCTACAGCACCTTTGCAAAATTGGGACTGGCCAATCGAACCATGGAAACGTATACATATAGATTTCGCAGGACCCTTCATGAACAAAATGATCTTAATTGTTATTGATTCACATTCTAAGTGGTTAGAAGTTAAAATCATGAACACAATCACTGCAAGTGATACCATTATTGAACTTAAGGAAATATTTTCAACTCATGGATTACCTGATCAAATTGTTTCAGATAATGGGCCTAGTTTCACTGCTCATGAGTTTAAACTGTTTTGTGTAGCAAATGGTATTGAGCATATAACCACATCACCCTATCATCCTGCTGGGAATGGTTTGGCTGAAAGAGCAGTAGGCATATTCAAAACCGCTATGGTAAAAATGAGTACCGGTAACAAATGTTCTCTCAGAGAAAGAGTAAACAGGTTCTTAGCCAAATACCGCACAACGCCTCATATAACAACAGTTGTTGCACCATGCGAATTGCTATGTGGTAGGAAAATTAAAACTCATCTTGACCTACTACATCCAACTGTTCAAAGGTCTGTTTCCCAACATCAACATACACAAAAAGTAAATCATGACAAAGCATCCATTGAAAGAGAATTTGCAGTTAATGATAATGTGTATCTAAGAAATTATGGGAGAAGGGAAAAATGGATACCAGGTCAAATTGTTCAATGTACAGGACCTGTGTCTTATAAAGTAAAAACAAATGATGGACTTATTGTCCGTAGACATGCAGACCAGTTAAAAATAACTTGTGCAGATAATAAGTGTGAATCTATCAATGCCACCAAATCTGATCAGTTCACACCAACTCAGTTTGTTCCACAACCAAGTTCTGTTGATATGAGTGAACCAAGTAGTCTAGAGTCAGAAAATGTAAATTCTGGAATTAATGATTTAGATCCTAGACCTCCTGAGATAGAGAATCCATATGGTCAGAATCTTGAGTCACCAAATCAAAAGCCACTGAGAAGGTCAAGCAGGACAATCAAAGTCCCAAATAAGTTAGACCTATGATTTTAAAGGTCAAAAGGACTTTGACATCATTGTTTTGTATCTTGATTATGTTGTAACATATTGTGCATTGTTTGTAAGGATGTAATCTACCATAATGTTCATGTTACAATATATTTGGTGATTTTAGGATACTGTAAATTGTTCTATTGAGAGATGTGTTGTGTTTACTAAGGGTAAAGGGATGTAATATAGTGAGAATTGTGAAGTCAAGGGAACTCACTCTTCTTGTATTAGTATTATATTTATACTGTTATCTTGAGTGATGTCCCTTATATGTATATATATTTTTGTGTCTCGTCACTTCCGCCCTCTCTCGTTTCCATCATGTTAGTTGAGGCCAATAAACGTTTTATATACAATCACATGCTTCTATCGTCAATCTATTACAATACGGAGTGATACGAAAACTAAAATCGATTACTAAATCGAACTAGGGGTGTCCTCCAGCGCTTCAGTAGTGGGAAGGTTGGGCGCCCGAGTTACCCAGCGGATATCTGATTGCAAAAGATCAGTTGATTCTGCGTACTTTAGAGTCACGGATACTACTTGATTTAAAGGTCAATCTGCAACAGTGGCGGCTTTCGACGCGCCCCCCCCCCCCCCGGCGTACAGATGACACCAATCACACGAATATTCTATAAAAGGGACATGGTAGGACTCTACGTTCGATGATTAAACCGAACAAAGGGTTGCACCAGGCTACCTACGGTAGTGTAACCAGTCACTCCCCTGACACCTAGGCGGTCACCGAAAGATATTCACCCTCACTATTGCGGAGGATGATTAACGTACTCTTAATGCTTTCATACAGCACGCTCAAGGGCGTCTACGCGGTAGTGTGAACAAACCCGCGTCCCGCAACAAGGATCCCAAAATAAAAAATAAAACCTATCTGAAATAGTGCTCAAGTTATAGGCTTTTGAAAATATCATAGCAGAAAAAGTACCACTTCCTGTCATCGGAAATCGCTCAAAAGTTGATAGGGATCTACGATTTTGATAAAATACTTATATATGAATGTTCATCAACTCAAGGTACTCAAGTTATCGTGTTTAGAGACACACAGACAGACACACACACATACACACAGACATACGGACAACATTGCAAAATTATGTTTTTCCGACTCAGTGAGGTGTAAAACGTCGAGTTTTGTAAAAAATCTCGATTTTTTTTTTAAATCGTGTTTTTCTGTTTTGTTGTGTTTCGGTTATTATAATAAAATGCGCTCATCTGGAGTTGAACGACAAGATGAGAATAAAATACGCTAAAATGGAGTTTTACCTTATAGATAACTGAATAATAAGCCAAAATCAAAGGCTAAATATATCAATATAGGCCAGAAATTAACTTTAAACAGCAGTGTTTGCGAGCAGATTTGATATATAAACAGTGTTTCTTCCAGACTTGTTTCTCCGGGGGGGGGGGCACTTGAAATTTTCGGGGGGGGGGGGGCGGTAAACTTTCCTCGGGGGGGGGGGAAGACACTGTTAAAAGTATATATTTTCTATATAAATAATATAAATTTCATTTCGTTCGGGGGGGGGGGGGGGGGGGGGAACGGTAAGAGATGCCTGGAAGAAACAGCAGCCATTTGTAAAATAGGCCTAGAGTGGCTTCCCCTGCTCCCGCTAATAATAGGTTAGCCTAGGCCGACAAAGAAAAATGAAACAAGATGGCTGCTATAGCAAATGAAAACATCGCTGGTCTTCATGTTGAAAAGTTTTAATTAAATTGTTTAAAAACAGGTACATAAATGAACTATTTTTGTAAATCTCAAAACATAATTCCTACTAAAAATAAAAATGTGAAATAATTAGATTTTAGATCTAGATAGATCTATCACCTTTAAAAAATGTTCAAAATTCTGGCTTTTAAAAACACTCTGGGGAAGAAAAAATAACATAAATTTCAAAAATAAATAAATTTCATTTCGTTCGGGGGGGGGGGGGGGGGGGGGGGGGGAGACGGTAAAAAAATTTCGGGGGGGGGGGGGGGGGAAGGGGGGGGAACAGCCTGGAAGGAACAGCAGCCATTTGTAAAATAAGAGTGGCTTCCCCTGCTCCCGCTAATAATAGGTTAGGCCTACAAAATAAATGAAACAAGATGGCTGATATACTTGATATAGCAAATGAGCATGGTTGGATCTGATGAAAACATCGCTAGTCTTCATGTTGAAAAGTTTAAATTAAATTGTTTAAAAACAGGTACATAAATGAGCTATTTTTGTAAATCTCAAAACATAATTCCTACTAAAAATAAAAATGTGAAATAATTAGATTTTAGATCTATTAAATGTAAGTAGTCAACCTCAACCTGTTTCACTTCAGTGTTTTTCTTTTCACAATATGTGAATATAGATCTAGATTTTCTAGATCTAGTATAGATTGGGTGCTATTTTGTAACCGTTTAACACAGAAACAAACCGGGAGAATGTTTACACCGCTGTCTGATAATGGAATCTTCTTTAAAAAAGGGGTGTTAGGTTACTGGTAGTTAACTAAATACACACATGGCTGGATAATGTCAATGCTAACCCTGTCCCTAACCCTAACCCCAACCCTGGTCCAACCATACGCCTAACCCTAATTTCTAACCATACAATTAGTCGAGATTACAATACTACACTAACAACCCAACACCCCTTTTTTAAAGAAGATTCCATTATCAGACACTGGTATCTATAATCATCAAACAAACCCAAAGTACTATATTATTCCTCTGCCTTTCTACTCTTAATAAATATGTATCAATCATTTTATAATATTTTATATTCCTATGCATTAAATTTGAGATATTCATGTTTTAGTGACGTGCTACTTGCGATATTTTTTTCCCCTCTGTTTTTTTCCCTGCGGCCATCTGAACCAGCTTTCGTAACGATAAAATGTTTACACCGGTCTCCGATAATGGAATCTTCTTTAAAAAGGGGGTGTTAGATTACTATACTACTAACAACCCAACACCCCTTTTTTAAAGATGATTCCATTATCGGACACGGGTATCTATAATCATGCCATTGGCTTATGAAGTTATGGGACTATGACAGGGTTTCTGTCACATTTACTAGCTTTGACTTAAGCTGATTTTAAAATAATTTTTTATATATCTAAAGCTAAAATGGATAGTTACTATTTGATACCTTACTTTAAATATGTAGATGTAGGTTTTTAGGTAGGTAATAGAAATTAGTAGGCCTAATAGATCTACAATCTATCTATATATATAATTCTCTTCTCGGAAACCCTAGAAAACAAGCTGTAAGCGCGCTCCCTACCACCCCCACCCCTCTATGTTCTGGTGAGCTGTGGTTCACGCTAAATGTTTACAATCGTAGAGCCGGGTTAAGGGACGGCTATTAGGGGCAGATAATTTAGTTTGAAACGATTTTAAACTTAGGGGAGGTAACTTAGAGGAGGCTGCTTTCACGGGGGGGGGGGGGGGGAAAGGGGGGGGGTATCGTCCTTAACGTGCTACTGGTAGTGTTTCAAAGCAAATATATTCAGTGGCATCATTGGTACTGTCGAATTCATAAATTATGAATTACTGAAAAGTAGAAAATAAAACAACTAAATAACGGCATATGATACGCAGCGGAGCGGCTCGTTTTTTATATGAATATATGGTTCCCTACTGAGATTCAAACTCTGGGGATATTCGTTAACAGATGTGCACTGTGCCACCCAACCATGGTGTGCTATGGCGTGAACACTGCTTTTAACTATTAATCTATCTATTCATATTACTTCTGATTGATAAAAGACACTTCAGTTATTAAAACAGATGTTATCATAGCTCAATAAGGCCCTTTTGATCTTTTTTATGACTTAAAAAATTCTATGGTGTTATAATAATATAGTAAAGCTAAGACATAAATATTTAAACATTTTTTAAATGCAATCAATATATTTTCAAAAATAAATTTTAATTTGGTTTTCTAATCAACATTATTTTTATTTCAGTTTTTTCTGCAATAATTCATCAATCTAAAGCTATGGAAAACACAAAGGACACTAATGGTATAGTTTGGGAGTGTTCAAATATGGTTAAACAGGAATTGAGTGACGAAATCATAACATTTATGGACATGAAATCAGATGAAACATCAGCTATTTCAAATTCAGAAGGAGTACAAACAAATATATCAAAACTCTTTTCAAATTCTGAAGATATAAAGCAAAATGTATCAACACAATTTTCAACTGTTAAAGACAAATACTTGGAGGAAACAATGCCATTTTTAGCTTTAGAATATAAAAATCTTGATAAAACAAAGCCTTTGTTTAATTTAGAAGAGATGAAACAAGATAACCCAACATCATTTTCATCTTCTGAAGACATGAAACCAAATATATCAACAGCATTTTCAATTTTTGAAGATATAAAACCTGAGATATTAACAATTTCATCTTTGGAGAATGAACAACGAAATGGTTTCAAAGCACAGCAACAACTTTCTTCCCCACCAGATTCAACTGATTTTAAAGAAAATTTAGCAGTTTTAAAATCAGATCTTCAAAATGAATTAAAACAACTCAAGTTATTGCATGCAAAATTGAATGATAATCTCCCAACAGAATATCAGATCAATGATAAGGGACTGAAGACATACAAGTGTGATATGTGTTGTCAAAGATTTTTCCATTTTGATCATGTTAAACAACACATAAACATTCACACAAGGGTGAATCCATATGGTCATGATTTTCATCAGCAAGAAGTTGTTATGATCAGTCAGGGTGAACAGATTAACAAAATAAACCTACAACAGGTATACAATAAGTCTAGTTTGTCTAAAAAGTTCACCACAAAGTCTAGTTTATCTACACACACAAATATTTATTCTGGAATTAATAAGCCATATGAATGTGCTGTGTGTAATAAGAAATATCATATTAAAAATCATTTAGCAAAACATATAAAGATACATTTAGGAGAAAGACCATATGAATGTGATGTGTGTCACAAAAAATTTAGTCAAAAGGGTCATCTATCAGAACATAAAAATATTCATTTACCAGAGAGACCATATGAATGTGATGTGTGTCACAAAAAATTTAGTCAAAAAAAAAATCTATCACAACATAAAAAAATTCATTTACCAGAGAGGCCATATAAATGTGATGTGTGTCACAAAAAATTTAGTCATGAAGGTAATTTATCTAAACATAAAAATATTCATTTACCAGAGAGACCATATGAATGTGATGTGTGTCACAAAAAATTTAATCATAAAAGACATTTATCAGAACATAAAATGATTCATTTACCAGAGAGACCATATGAATGTGATGTGTGTCATAAAAAATTTAGTTGTAAAAGTAATTTATCTATACATAAAAATATTCATTTACCAGAGAGACCATATGAATGTGATGTGTGTCACAAAAAATTTAGTCAAAAGGGTCATCTATCAGAACATAAAAATATACATTTACCAGAGAGACCATATGAATGTGAGGTGTGTCACAAAAAATTTAATCATAAAAGACATTTATCAGAACATAAAAATATACATTTACCAGAGAGACCATATGAATGTGAGGTGTGTCACAAAAAATTTAATCATAAAAGACATTTATCAGAACATAAAATGATTCATTTACCAGAGAGACCATATGAATGTGATGTGTGTCATAAAAAATTTAGTTGTAAAAGTAATTTATCTATACATAAAAATATTCATTTACCAGAGAGACCATATGAATGTGATGTGTGTCATAAAAAATTTAGTCATAAATGTAATCTATCAGACCATAAAAATATTCATTTACCAGATAGACCACATGAATGTGATGTGTGTCATAAAAAATTTAGTCTTAAAGGTGATTTATCTAAACATAAAATAAATGTTCATTCAAGTCTCGAGCCACATGAATGTGATGTTTGTCATAAAAGTTTTGCCCTTAAATCTAGATTATCCATACATAAAAATATTCATTTACCAGAGAGACCATATGAATGTGATGTGTGCCATAAAAAATTTAGTCAGAAAGGTCATTTATCAAAACATAAAATAGCTAAACATTTAGGAGAAAGACCATATGAATGTGATGTGTGCCATAAAAATTTTAGTCAGAAATATCATTTATCAGAACATAAAATAACTATTCATTCAAGTCTCAAGCCACATGAATGTGATGTTTGTCATAAATGTTTTGCCCTTAAATCTAGATTATCTAAACATAAAAATATTCATTTACCTGAGAGACCATATGAATGTGATGTGTGTCACAAAAAATTTAAGGATAAAAGACAGTTATCACAACATAAAATGATTCATTTACCAGATAGATTATATGAATGTGATGTGTGTCACAAAAAATTTAGTCAAAAGGGTAATCTATCAGAACATAAAAATATTCATTTACCAGAGAGACCATATGAATGTGATGTGTGTCACAAAAAATTTAATTATAAAAGACGTTTATCAGAACATAAAATGATTCATTTACCAGATAGTTGAGATAGATTATATGAATGTGATGTGTGTCACAAAAAATTTAATTATAAAAGACGTTTATCAGAGCATAAAATGATTCATTTACCAGATTGAGTGATGTGTGTCACAAAAAATTTAATCATGAAGTTAGTTTATCTACACATAAAAAAATTCATTTACCAGAAAGACCATATGAATGTGATGCAGGGGCGGAACTACAGTGCCGCCAGACCCCGCAATGCAGGGGGGGGGGGCCCACAGCCGCCCATAATCATTGTTTTTTATAGTTAAAATTAATTTTCTTGCATTTTTGACTTGATGGTTTTTTTTTGAAAAAAGAATACTATAGCTGCGGTTGGAGTATCTTTATTCTATAGACACCATCCCACGCTCTTGTATATTCTTTTTCCTACAATCAAATACACGCTGTTGTCGGCAAAATTCTTTTGAAAAAACATCAATTGCGCGAGAGGCCGCTAGATATTAAGACGGCTTATTGAGACCATCCCAAATTTGGTACTGATGGATAAAAGCACATCGTCTCTTCGTTGGCCCTTTTAAGTCCCTTTCTCAGACCTCCCCTCCCGCTCTTAGCCTTACAAGAAGCGAATAGATAGCGCCTCAACAACTAAGCTGGCTCGTATCGGTGGTAGTGTAGACAAACTAACGCTTCAACAACTAATATCCAAGAAATAAAGTGCCGACATTGTTTACGTTTAATAACCACTGTTCTAGAAAACAAGGCAAACGTCTCAAATAAATACACGAATGATAGCGTGTTCGTCACTGGCACCTTGATAGTGGTTTTGTAAATAACAAACAGATGACAGATCTAATACTGTAGTGATGTTATATAGTAGCTAAGACGTGCTGTTGCGTAAAAAATTTTTTTTTAAAAATACACATTATCATTAGCTGTAGTGTGAAAGATAGGCAAACGCTCAAACCACTTCCATAAATTATTTCTCTTTTTCAAATAGTCAAATAGGGTTGCTCGAAAGCTCTTTTTAATAGATTTGTAATAATCAAATTAAACAGCAATTACTGGTCTTATTATTTTCTTTAAAAAAGTACTAAAGAATGGTATAGTACGAAAATGAAACGTAGTTAAAATTAATAATATAAATACAAAAAAAAAAATAAACATAACACGAGACACCATTACTTATACAAAGCTTCATGATTGATATACTTTTGACCGACTTAGTGATTAGAAGTATTAAACATATATGAAAACAGAGATTTTCAAAACAGACCAATACACTCATACACATAACATGTTGTGATTAGATTTAATTAAATTTTTTTTCCAAAACCCGATCAGGCCAGAAAGGAGTATCCTGTGTTCGTATTGTGTTTATATATAAATATATATATATATATATATGGGGGGGGGGAGGCCCATTTTTTCTAGTTCCGCCACTGATGTCATGTGTGTCATAAAAAATTCAATCATAAAAGACATTTATCAGAACATAAAATGATTCATTTACCAGATAGATTATACGAACGTGATGTGTGTCACAAAAAATTTAATCATAAAGGGGATTTATCTAAACATAAAAATATTCATTTACCAGAGACCATATGAATGTGGCATTTGTCATAAAAGGTTTGCTCGTAAGTCTGGTTTATCTACACACACAAAATCTCACTCAGGACTTAAGCCACCTGAATGTGTTGCTGATGCTGGTCATTAAATTCTCTTTCACAAGGGTCTTTAATTATCTGTATATAAAACTATTGCTTTTGTACTAATACCACATTGTGGAGGCTAAATACACACTATTAATGTTTGTCATACAGGATCAGAGTTTCTTCCTGGCATCTCTACCCCCCCCCCTTCCCCGGAAAAAAACTCTGGAAGAAACACTGTACAGGATATAATACTCTTCATAGTATTATTTGTCATACAAAGTATTGCTAATGATTAATATGTTATCTAGACATTTCATTTTGAAGATAAGTAAAATGAATGTATTATTTGTTACTAATGTTTTTAAATTGTGTGCGTGTATATTGTAAACATGAAATTCAAACAATGTTAAAAAAGTTAATTAAAAATCATTTAACATATGTTTTAAATATTCACACAAAGGAAGAAACACTTCATGGAAAGAATGGATGTCATGAGTCTCCATAGCACATTTATCATCTTGTACTAGGTGTTATAGCTAGCTTTGTTTAGGTTTTTTGGAAATATGATGCCTAAATTCTTACCCTTTACATTACCCATACAATAATTAATGCTAACCACTAATAGACACCAACAATGTACAATTATAATTTGAATCATTGAAGTAATATTTACTCACAATTTTTCTATATTGAATATTCCATTTTATGTAATTCTAAATTTTGTATAAATAATTATATAACCCATTAAGTTAATCATAATTATGATAATTGAAGTGAGCAACAAAATGTATTAATTAATATAGCTGAAAATGATTAAATTTTTAAAACAGAAGATACAATTTTTTATTATGATTATTATTGATGTATAATTTATCTTTTTACTTTCTCGTATATACGAAGTATAGAGAAAGTATAGAGTCCTTGCAAACACGTGACCTAAATCACGTGATACCTACGCCCGCCGCCACAGTGGTGTACATCAGACGTAAACACAATCAGCTGTTCGCCAGCGCTGGACGTGTTCACCAGCGCTGGACGTGTTCACCGTATGTAAAGAATCGCGCCCGCGGAAAAGGAAAAATATGTTAAAAAACTTGAACTCTTAGGAATTGAAGATCCTTATACAGTTATTGACAGTTTCGTGGATAATATAAATATGTGGCCGAAATTTCTAAATAAAAATACTGTTAGTAATACCGTTTGCGTTTAGAGTTTAAGTAGACGAAGCTGATCAAATGCAGTAATATATTAGAGGTTATCTACTGTAGCAAACGTGAGACCACTTAACTCCTACAAAACCCACACTACAACGGCTAATATAATCCATGGGTAATAACCAATCTGGGTAGCATGTTATACAATTTAAGACCCTTATAATCCAGCAGGGAAGTAATCAGACACATTAATACTGACGTTCAACCCTCATGATGGCTGCCCCCACCTGTATCTAGCCCACAATAAAACCAAAGAGGAGTCTGCCCTGCCCTCCCCTGAAAATGTCTCACCTCCGTGATACCCAGCCCCACAGAGATAGTATTTCTTATATAATTTTGACCCTCAGGGCCCAGCAGGGAGAACAAAGGGGAAAGTCCCACTGCTCTCCCATCAACATTTCTCACCTCGATGTCATGTTATGTCATTTATAGCACACATGGCTTATCAGGGGAAAGCATTAAGGCATTAAGAATCTTAACTCTGGACAGCTACACACTAGTATACTAGCTACACACTAGGTGCCTACTGTAAACTACTAGACTGTAGGCCCTATGTAGACCTGCAATTGTATCAATTGTAGACTGGGTCCATTGTTATTATTCTAAACCATCTCACTTATAATGTTTCTAGCTTGATTTGTTTCTTTTATAAACAGTGGATTTTTAAAAAAAAATTAGCCTAATCATTAACCAAATAATAATAATGTGGTTATTTGTTGTTGGCTGGTATGATCTAGATTGTACTACTAGGCTACAAAAACTTAGTAGACCAATTACTAGATATGAATTTGAATTTAATTAAATTCAGTCCAGTATCAGATGAGATACATATTGCTGTAAAAAGACAACAAAGTAGGTAGGCCTTAGTAATTTATTAAAGCCTTCTACTACAATAATATCAACTACATGCTTGTATAAAGTTTTTACAATTTAATTTAAGTAGCAGATTCTAGATCTAAGTCTAGTCATATAATCTATTTCAATTTCAGAAAATTTCGTTTGCTAAAAAAATGATTAGATAATAGAGCGAGATTTTAGATCTTAGAGACAATTAAATGCTTTATTAGGCCTATTATGACTACTTTTGATTTATTATGGGTGTATTTTGAATCGAATGTAGATCTAAAGTAATTAAATTTAAGTAAAGAAGTAGATTCTAGATTCTATGTCTACCCAGCGGAGCCAGGTATTAGGCCTACTATTAGATCTTATTATTCTTATTAGCCTATTACTTTTGACTTTGTCTTTTACTATTAGTATTTGTGAAGGTCGAGCATATTTGTTTTATTAATAGTTATCTTTTATAATTAAAATGAAGTTTATTATTTTACTGTCCTTACCTGAAACAAAGTATCGAGAACTGCATTTGATCAGATTCGGCTACTTTAACTCTAAACGCAAACAGTATTACTAACAGTATTTTTATTTAGAAATTTTGTCCACATATTTATTTATACGAAACTGTCAATAACAGTATAAGGATCTTCAATTCCTAAGAGTTCAAGTAATGTATTTTTCCTTTTCCGCGGGTGCGGTTCTTTACATACAGTGAACGCGTCCAGCGCTGGTGAACACGTCCAGCGCTGGCGAACAGCTGATTGTGTTTACGTCTGATGTACACCACTGTGGCGGCGGGCGTAGGTATCACGAACGGACGTGAAGTCATATGAAAGGACTCTATTGTAACGTGCACAAAAATCACTTTAAATTTTAACAATTTTCACCGTATTACACCTCAGTCCTTCATCACATCCGAAGTATAGAGGACATATTTTAATCGGGCAAAAATTATCAATCCAGATTTATCAATATTAAGAGGTTTTATGCGTAATCCAGTCTGAAAAACTGGGCTTTGCAATTCTGTCTGTGTGTAAATACGATTACTTGAGTACCGTTACAGCTAAGTTGATGAAATTTCATATATAAGTATTTTATCAAAATCTTAGATCCGTATCAACTTTTGAGCTATTTCCGATAACCGGAAGTGGTACTTTTTCTACTTTGAATTTTTTAAAGCCTATAACTTGAGTACTATTTCAGATAGATAAATGAAATTTCACATGTGAGTAAAAGATCTAATTTTCTACCTTCTGTTAAATTTTGAGTAATTTCCGTTGACCGAAAGTAGTAATTTACGCTACTTCCGATTTCTCAAAAAAACTAATGTACATTTTTAAAGTACTAATAATATTGCGCACTATTCCATACGGACAATTGCGATTATTAACTCGTCAAGGATGGATGTGTGTCCGATTTGTGTCAGGAGCTTTAAGTCGTATCTTCTCCTCAACGAAGCAATATCGAGGACTAGTTCCAAAAGCAAATATGTTAAGCATGTTCAGAGGATGATTGTGGGCCAAAAAAATTCCCGGAATCCCTTCCTGGATTTCCCGGAAAAGCCAAAAAACCTCGGAAAAAATGCAGTTTTTGGCCCATATCTCGGCAACCAGACCATTTAGCGACTTGAAACATTTACCAATCGATTCCTGACATATTTTAGAACATTATTGCCGAAGGAAGTTTTCAAAAATATCCTTTCGTTCGGTCACAATTTTTTTTTTAAATTACATAAACAGCTACAAACCGATCGTTCTCTTAGCTTGAACGCACCCCAGCATTATACGTCTTGTGTTTTGTCCCCGTGTGTGCTTTACGCTACGACAGAGCTTTTTTAGATAACATAAGGAAATTGTGCTTAAATTGTCACTAGACTTTTTATTAACTTGTTTTTTTATTCATGTGTTTATATTTCTATATTTTTTTAGCGCAATTTCCATTCTGAAGAATTGCGATTATTAACTCGTCATTTCTGGGAATGTCCGCGGCTTTAAGTCGTATCTCCTCCTCAGCGAAGCAATATCGAGGACTAGTTCCAAAAGCAAATATGTTAAGCAAGTTCCGAGGATGATTGTGGGCCCAAAAAAATCCCGGAATTCCTTCCTGTAAAAGCCAAAAAACCTCGGAAAAATGTACTTTTTGCCCCATATCTCGGCAACCAGACCACTTAGCGACTTGAAACATTTTAAAATTACATTATACATAATACATTACAGTACTATATAGCAAAGAAGGCAGTGGAAGGAGGAGGGTAAATCATGTGACCTGGCTGGCTTAGCAGCGAACTGCGCGAGCCGCAATGGCTGAATGGGATGAACTTTGGGAGTGTGGGAAAAAGGTTTTATACTATTAAAATTACCTCACAAACAATCAATAACACAATATAAATGCATAGGGTAAAGGAGGGCATTAAGAGCCGTGTGGTATTAAGCCCCAATCAACACCTGATAACATAAGGAAATTGCGCTTAAATTGTCACTAGACTTTTTATTAACTTGTTTAACAAATCGATTACAAGATAATTACGGTTTTCGTCACTTACAAGACCACAAACAGATGGCTAACATTAGATCTAAATCCATTATGTCAGACATAAGCACTTAGCTTTTTTTAAAATCATAGATTATTTCTATTTTTTGCAATGGTAACTTTTAAACGCCTTTTTATTTTTAAGTTGCATAAATTTCAAAAGGCGCCAATTGTCAGAAAATGACCCTGAAATGGGAAGGCTCCCCATTACCAGCTATACGCCTATGATTGTATTAGCTGACAAAGACAACTCAAGCTGTTTTATAAAAAAGAAAGAAAAAACCTGAGCACGATCATTTATTGTAAGTTCGTAAGGTTGTTTACAGAGGCGTAGCGACCCCTCCCGGCGCCCGGGGCGAACTTTCAGTTTGGCGCCCCATATATATATATATATATATATATATATATATATATATATATATATATATATATATATATATATATATATATATACACGTGTGTGTGTATGTATGTGCGACAGTCTGGAAAAAAATTAACAATTACGCTTATTGTCGTTCCCTAAAACTTCACTCGACGCCAATAAAATTCCCGTTAAGATGCATTATCCTTTAAAAAATGATGATTGGTAATGTCAGAAAAAAATTAAAATTGTAGCGGTGCTAATGCTTTTAGCACAGTCTTTTTATGATTCACGATCGGATTTTGTCTGTGTGCATGATACAACTATTAAGAAGGGTTCGGTGATTCCAAAAAGTTAAGAACCACTGCTGAAGGTGTAGAAGGTGCAAGTTTATTTGGTCTACTTTTGGGCGTATCTTTAGTACAATTTCGATAATTGTAGGCCTATATTACAATTTTGAATTATCAGTTAAACAAAGTAAATAATCAGCACAATATACTAGTTTTCTTCTCTCTTCAAATTTTGGCAAAGAGTGTCGCTTCCCACCCACTCGCGCCGACAGTCTGCTATTTTACTGGTTGGATAGCGATACAAGAATTTGTGATATTTATTTCTCTTTAATGCAGTGATCCAGGCAAGATGTAATGCAATCAAGTAAAAGTATCTGATCTATCACGATGAAGTTGAGAGAATCGTAAGAATCGTACAAAGAACTAGCCGCGTTATTGCTTAGCAAAACTGGGTAGTGAAATCGTACATTAAGTGTTAATACAATTGATTAAAAGAGTTAAAAGAGTTATCTAGTACAAATCCTTCGGTTTTTGTTGGTGAAAAAGTGCCCCACCATCTTGCAAAAAAAAT